CCTGGCAACTTTACTAACACATGACAGACTCTACCAGGAACCCCTAACACAACAGAGGCTATTTATCACAAGGCATAGGATTATTTATTGTAGATGACATGGCCTTGCTCCAGAATCTGAGGGATCTGCATTGTTATTTTCCCATTGGGATTGGCATGAGTTCCACACTGTATCTGCTTCTCACCACTGACCTCTGCACCTTGGACTAGCTCTGGAGCCAATTTCTGCCCCAGTGTCATTCAAAGCTAGCAACCTTCTGTGTCACCTGGTATATGAGTTTTCTATGCTCCATAATAAATTACCACCTACTCAGTGACTTAAAATAATGCATATTTTTATATCACAGTTTCTAGAGGACACAGTCTAGTTACCACCTAGCTTGGTTTTCTGGACTCTCCAGGGTGTCATCAGGCTACAATTCAGGCATCAGTCAGAGCTGTGGTTTCATAGGAGGCTCAAGAGGGGAAAAGTCCCCTTCCAAGCCCCTCAAGTTTGGGGCATATTTAATTTCCTTGCATACATAGGACAAAGGTACCCATTTTCTTGCTGGCCGTTGGTCAGCCACTACTCTCAGATCCGAGAAGTCACCTGCAGTTCCTTGTTACATGGTCTTCTTTGTAGGCCCTCTCACAACATATCTTACTTCTTCAAAGCTAGAAAAGAAGAATCTTTCTAACCTCAGGGAGGTCCCAGTTTTTCTTTCAAGGGCTTTTGCTAATTAAAGTAAGGCCACCCAGGATAAACTCCCATTTAACTAACTAGAAAAGAACAGATTTTGGACTTTAGTTACACATGCAGGAGTATTCATTTTGCTATATAACAGAAACTAACCAAGGAGATGACATCCCATTAGCTTTTCCATATGGTATTGGATAGAAGCAAGTCACAGGTCTCATGTGCACACAATTGGAGGAGACTACACAAAGGTAGATACACCAGAAAGTTGTAATCAATTATCTTAAGGGTTGTTTATCAGACTTGGTAAAACAGTTAGAGCAGTATTCCTAGGTGTGGAATGTGTTGCCTCTAAAAACTTAAAAGAGGTCTTCCAAGAGTTGTGCTTTCTCACTTCTGGTAGGGGACAGAAGATGCAATAATTTGTCTTTTATTTTGAAAAGGATTCCCTGGAATGTTTCTGACTACTTCACCCCTAAATACATCATTGAAGTGGTAGGTCCCTGAATTTCATCTTTCCTTTGTTTCTTGCTAAAGCCTTTATCATACAAGCCACTTCTTGTTTATCTTGTTGGTTAGTATGATGCTATCAATGTAATGGACTGGTGTGATGTTCTGCAGCATGTTCAGGTTGCAAAGATTTCTTCAAACCATATCGTGACAGAGAGCTGGAGAATTCACACTGCCCTGAGCAAAACTTTAAAGAAATACTTTTATCCATTCCATGGTAATGTGAATTGTTTATGATTTTCATTTACAATTAAAAAGGAAAATAATACATTTGCCAAGTTAATGATTGCATACTATATCCCATAAGCCACATTCATCTTCTCAGGGGGAGCTAGTTGGTTGAGTTTTCCATAGTATACGGTCATTTTCCGAGATCCATCTGGTTTCCTTCTACTTGAAGAACTACTGTTATGATTTCCTTTACTGCAAATCCACTGAAGACCTTCCTTTAGCTTTTTGACCTGAAAAGACTTTGCACTATCTATATTTTTAAAGAATAATTCTTAGACACAAGATCATAGTTCTGAAGTTATTTTCTTCACCAATGTAATAATGTCACTCATTGTCTTCTACCATCCATTCTTCATTGGAGAGTCAGTCACGGTCTTCTGCTTCAAGTAGGAGAGCGAAGATCATTGCAGATCAACATTTCCCCTGAAACGACATTTTTAAAAAGGCAAATTGCAAAAAAAAAAAATGTTTGAAGAGAAAAATTAAAACAATTAGGACTGGATAATTAAAATTTCAGAATGGAAAGAGACCCTCCTTGGTGAGCTGGCAGTCACCAGCTGTTTCCTTCACTGTACACATTTTCTGATTTGGAGAAAAGGCTAAGTTCCAGGTTTGGTGTTTTCAGAGGGGGACTACTGAGAAAACAAAGAATCCAGCAATGCTTTGTGGACACACAAGAATTTATTGAAAATTGAAGACTTAAGAGACCCCAAGGTAATGATGAATTCTTCCCACAGGGCATTTTTTATATTCTCTAGTGCATGGAGGGCTGGGGATCTGAACCAGAAAGGCAGATTGAAAGTACTACACAAACGTCATGGTGCTTAGGAGAACAAATCTGACAAGAGAATTGAGACCTTCCACAAAATCTTGATCATTTTCCCCTCACAATATTTGCCTGCCTGTTAAGCTGCATTGGGTAGCAGGAGAGACTGCTAAACTCAAACTTCAGAGAGTAGAGCTCAGTCATTATCAGCTTTTCATATCTGAAGGAGACGCACACTTGTCAGGTCTCAATCAATACCCCAGCCAACTCAAGGAGCAGGGAGGACTATAGAATGGCCGAGTCTTGAGAAAACCTTTTTTTCCCTCCAGCTTGCTCACTTTGATGGGCTTGTTTACTTATCTCAGGGATATCTCTTTTCCCCTTATACCCCAGCAATCCTTCCAGTGATCCTTCCAGTATGTTTAAGACAAATCACTCTTCTAATTTCTCTCTCTTTAAAAACCAAGAACAGATTCTTTTGAAACTGATGTCAAAGAGTGTGCTGCCTATATTCTCTTCTAGAAGACTTATTGTTTCAGGCCTAATCTTTAGGTCTTTGATCCATTTTGAGTTTATTTTGGTGTGTGGTGAAAAAGAATGGTCAATTTTCAATCTTTTGCATGTGGCTGTCCAGTTTTCCCAGCACCATTTGTTGAAGAGACCCTCTGCTCCTTTATATGACTCCACTCATAGGTGGAAGTTAACATATTGACAAGGAGATCTGATCGGTGGTTACCAGGGAAAAGGGGGTGGGGGGTGGGGGGAGGGCACAAAGGGGGAAGAGGTGTACCCACAACATGACTAACAATAATGTACAACTGAAAGCTCACAAGGTTGTAATCTATCATAACGTTAATAAAAAAAAAAAACCCACAAAAACCAAGAACAGCTGTTTTCTTGTCCTGACCAGATGTAGACTCGTATCAGCAGGGTCTGTTTTTTTCTCAGAAATAATAGCAATTTGAAAACTATTATTCTATGTACAAACTAAATTCTCACCTTGAACTTCAAAAGGACGATTCCGTGAGGAGATAGTTATACTTTATCAGTACATTCTCAAAGGCCTGGTAACATAGATATTATGAGGTCATCAAAATCGTAATGCAGGAGAATTACATATATTAACAAGTATATGTATACTGTATCATAATTTATTTAGTTATATATAAATTTATATATGTGTGTGAGTGCACATATAATAAATATCTCTCTACGTTAAGAGACAAGATCTTTCCGTATCTCTTCTGCCATTTCCTGTTTACCCTTCATAGGTCTATGGAAACAGCTATTCATGGACAAAAATCCACCTTTTCTAGGAAAATCACTTTTTAAAAAACAAAGTCAAAAACAGTTCATAGAAGGGCAAAAAAATCCATAAACGATTCTCTCCTTGCTATTTTCCTTTTCGAGTATTATGGCATATACCATACAGAACCATTTTCTCCTAAGTTAAAATATTGGATTTCATTTCTCATGAGTGAATACCTAGCAAAGGAATTGTTGAGCTGTGTGGCGTTTGCAGAACTTCTTAAGATACTATAAACTGTTTCTAAAGTCATTTTACCTTTTAGTCACATCTGAAATGTGTGAGTATTCTACTTGCTCCACATTTTCACCAATACTTGGCATTTCAGTCTTATTCACTTTAGCCATTCTAACTAGTATTCAGTGGTGTCACATTTGTGGATTTAATAATAATTTCATTGATGACTGATGATGTTTAGCATTTTTTCATGTGTTTATAGATGATTTGTATATCTTGCTTTGTCAAGTGCTAAAATATTTCGCCAATACTTCAAGTAAATTTTTTGTCTTCTTGTTTTGAGTATAAAGAGTTCTCTATATGTTCCACATACGAATCCTCTGTCAAAAATATATTGCAAATACTTACTCATACTCTGTGGCTTACAGTTTTATTTTCTTAATGGCATCTTTCAACATTAGGAAAATTTTACCAAAAGTTTTTAATGTAGATGAAGTTTCTTTCATCAATGGTTCTGATGATCCATCCTTTCTGCGTTTCATCTAAAAAAATTCCTGCCACAAATTTAAGAAGATTTTTCTGTTTTGTACTAAAATATTTTAGTTTTAATTTTTATGTTTAGATCTATGATCCATTTCATTTAATTCAAGTTATTAGTTAGGTATAATGTGAGGTAAAAGTTAAATCTCACTTATTCATATGAATCTCCAGTTACCTCAGAATTATTTGTTGAAAATCATCTCTCAATTGAATTATAATAGCGTGTTTGTTGAAATTTAAATCACCTCATATGCTTGAGCCAATTTTGAAACTCTATTACCCTAATAACCTTCCGCCTTTATTGCTAAATTTTTTGAAATAAACTAGGATATGAATTTAGGGAAAGCAGAACAATAATTTATTCAATTTTGTTTGTTCGTCAGCAAGCTATAATTTTCATGAATAAAAGGCAACTTTTGCTATTCAATACAATAAATAGCAAAAGGTTGGTTGCTGTACAAGATACAGTAAGTTGAAGCATTTATTAAGCCATCTCTGAAGTATGAGCTTCCCGATTATAATTCTAAGGAACTATTCTAGATCTGCACATATTTGATGAACTGATAATTGGTTTTAGTTTGGAAACACACATATATAATTACACTATATGATAAAGCATTTAAAAATAATTTACAAATATTGCAAAATATAGTCCAAGAGTTTTATTTTTAAAATTTTGGTTTCCATGTGATTTAGATCTATTTCACAAAAAAAGTATGCAAAAATACATACTCATAAAGTGTACTGCCACAGATATGTTAACTAACAGCCTATTGATTAAATGATTGGAATTATCTATTGGGCTACAAGAGGTGAATAATCCGTATCATAGCAAATCAATTTTTTCAGAAATAAAATAATGAATCTAACAATATTATGTTGAGTAAAAACACAATTTTGTGACACTAATTTTCTGCATATGTCTTTCACATCTTTGTTCCTAAGGCTGTAGATCAAAGGATTCAGTATGGAAATCACTACTGTGTGAAACACAGAAGCCACTTTAACTACGAACCAAGAAGTTTTAGGATTAGGGATACAGTAAAGGAAAAGAATGGTTCCATGGAAGACGGTGATGGCAGTCAAGTGGGAGGCACAGGTGGAGAAAGTGTTCTGGTGCCAACTTGCAGAAGGCATCCTCATAACAGTGATAAAAATGAATATATAGGACAGCAGAATAATCATCAGGCTGCTGCCCTTAGTGAATATGTTAATAATAAAACACAGCATCTGGCTGATATATGGGTGTGGGCAGGAGACAGAAACAATTACACAGTGCTCACAGAAAAAATTATTTATGATACTAGACTCACAATAGGATAATGCAAGAAGAAAATATGTGAGTGTCAGGACACACACTATACTCCATGAGTAAGACCCAGCCACCAGCAGCACACAAAGCTTCTGAGACTTAGTAGTGGTATAGAGCAAGGAGTTACAAACTGCCACAAGATGGTCATAGGCCATTGCTGCTAACATGAAAGTTTCTGTTACAGCAAATATCCAAGCAAAACAAAATTGTAGAATGCAACCAGAGAAAAAGATGGCTCTGTCTTCCACAATTGAGTTCTCGAATGGTTTAAGTGTAACTATAGTAGAACAACAGAAGCCTACAAAGGACAATTGACTGAGAAAAAAGTACATACTTGTGTGGTTTTGGATTGATCTTGATGATTATTATCATGTCCAAATTCCCCACTGCAGTGACTGTGTAGGTAGACAAGAAAGCTCAGGAAGAGTGGAATCAGGAGCTCTGGATATTCTGAAAAACCCAGGAGGTATGATACTTTGATTTCCTTCAAATAACATGATTCCTGTTGAATAAAAACCCAAAAGTTATTCCTGGAAAATTCAAGTGAATAGAAAGGAGAAACAGAGAGAAGAAAGAGGCTTCCTTTACCTCTGTGAAGTTGATACAGAACAGTGATTCTCAAAGTCCGGTCCCCAATCAGCAGAAGCAGGAGCACCTGAGAATTTGTTAGGGCTACAGATTTTCCAGCTGCATCACCAACTTGCTGAATCAAAAACTCTGTTACAGGGTCCACAATATGAGATTTAACCAGCCCTCCAGGGGACTTTGATGCATGCTAAATTATGAGAACAACTGGTATAGAAGATATATAGTAATTATTCTATTGTTTAAAATTCAGCTCTTGTTAGTATTATTAATATAGAATTGAAACGCAAATTTAGAGAATGAAAAAAATTGTAAAAAAAACAGACGTAACAGAGTCAGAACAGAAGCACAGAGCACTTTGTTAGGGGTCTAAGAATCACACCAAAGATTGAGGGGATCACTTGGCGATGCACATGTTGCCACATAAACCTTCATATTAATTATTTTTATATTTTTGACATTTTTTTAGACATAACACAGAATTAAATACCCATAGAATTTATGAATTGTAATAAATCTTAAAATGTATCTAGTTCATGCCTTCCCTCTAATGCATGGGAATTCATTACAGAATTTTATCCATGAAATGACCGTGTAGATGCCATCAAAACGTCCCAGTAATAATTTTGTGGTTTTTATTGACATTTCCTTAACATTTATAATCTTATTAACTAAAGTTAGTAAATTAAATTTTCATTAACTATTGATTAATATGCTTTTAGGTCATCCATTCTGATACTTATATATTAAAAATTATTCATATATATATCTAAATATATAAATTGTGTATATATGTATAACTTTTTTTGAAAACAGCACAACAAAAGTGTCTTACATTCATCAACAATAGTTACATAAAAAATATGTTGTATGATCCAGTGAAAATTACACATTTTCTTAACCAAAGAGAAGTAAGCCCTGTCTTATGAGGAAGCAAACTGGAGAAGATAAGGAAATGAGAGCAGTGAGAGTTTAAAATGAAGGGCCCCAAGTTATAAACATGACACTATGGTAGAATTACATGAACGATCCTTTCCATCTTCTTAGCTTTGCCTGTAGCAATTGTCAGCCTCCAGACTCAGCTCTGTGAGCGCCTACCTTTACATGTACTACAAGCAACCTTGGACATAAAGCATCTATCATCAGCATATTCTTTCCAATAGCAAGTGGCAGTTTTCAGATACATTGTAAATATCCATTACTGGTCAATCTATATTAACAAATGAGATTTGAATGTATTAGCAAAACCCTGGCATATTAGGGAAATTACAATTCCTGCTCTGGCTTATTGGCACGCTTGCTAGGTCAATAACAAAAAGATACTCAGGAAAACACTTGGTACTCAAGTTCTAACAATTTCAAATAATTTTGGTGAAAATCAATGGATTTGTTTAGGTTTGTACTCAAATTGAAACTAGGATTATAAGATTTCAAAAATCAACATATATCCCATAAATTTTCTGTGACTTGCTCATTGCTCATTATTGCCAGTTTCTGTAATACAAAATGTAATAGTCAGAAACACTTCATGCCCTGTTAATGACAATTAAAATGTCTCTGATCATGGGGTCAACCCAGTGTCAGAGTGGTTAGGTTTGTGTGCTCCACTTAGGAGCCTGGGATTTGTGGGTTTGGATCCTGGGTGCGGACCTACACACCACTCACCAAGCCAGGCTGTGGTGGCATCCCACATACAAAATTGAGGAAGATTGGCACACATGTTAGCTCAGTGACAATCTCCCTCAAGCCGAAAGAGGAAGACGGGCAATAGATGTTAGCTCAGGGCCAATCTTCCTCACACACACACACAAAAACTCTCCGATCATAAAGAGGGTCATTTATAATTTTTGGAATGATCTACATGAGCTGTATCTCCATGTTTTCCACCTAAAGTGAAAGAAACCAAAAAAGAAATGAAACAACTGGAAACCAGAATATTTTGATTAATTTACTGAGGATTCCCTTTGATGATTAATGAACCTCAGCCATTTTTCTTCTCAGTAATCAAGCATTCTTGAAGATAGCAACAGGCTAGAAGTTTGTAACAAAAATGGCAGTATATTTCAAGGGATATGCCAGTAAAATGGCATTGTAACTACAAGACATAAGAAATCACAGAGAATACACAGAAAATGCTAAAAGCTGAAACCATAGTCTAAACTCTGCCAAAATCTGCGTCTTATATCTGCCTCTATGACAATGGAGATACAGACTACAGAGAATTATAATTGAAGTAGTACTCAGTGGGCCATGAGCCATACAATTAGCAGAAACACTGTTTCTTGTATCATTATGGTAGATGCATTTTCTTCTAAATCATTACAGATAGTTACATCACCACATCTATTCCATTAATTGCTTATAGATATCAAATTATTGAAATAATACATATTGATTAAAATGTGTATGGCTGAGTTTTAAATAAGAAAAAAAAGACAATCCAGAAATAGCTGTTATTGACTCAACCGCGTTTTAAACTCCACATTCAAGTTTAGAGAGGAGAAATTTGGCCAATGCTACCCTAAACAAACGATGACTATGACCGCCATCAGTGAAAAAATGGGAATATCATTTATCTCCTGATATGATGTGATGAGAAAGACTTCGTCTCTGTGATGTTCTTCCCCCAAAATCCATAATCCCAGCTTAATTTGAGAAAATCATCAGGTAAACCCATATTTAGAAGTCTTCTACAGGCTAACTAGCCAGTACACATTAGGACTGTCAAAGTGAAGAAAAACAAGAGTGAGAAATTGTCACACACCAAAGGAAGCTGGGGAGACATGACAACTAAATGAAATGTGGTACCCTGGATATTATCCCAGGAAAGAATAAGGGCATTAGTGGAAAAAACAGATGGAGTCCAAATAAAGTTTGAATTTTAGTGATCATAGTGTACTAATGTTTCCTTTTAAAATTTTATTTTATTGTGGTAAGAACACTTAACGTGAGTTCTATCCTCTTAATAGATTTTTTTTTGAGGAAGATTAGCTCTGAGTTAACTACTGCCAGTCCTCCTCTTTTTTTGCTGAGGAAGCCTGGGTCTGAGCTAACATCCGTGCCCATCTTCCTCTGCTTTATACATGGGATACCTACCACAGCATGGCATGCCAAACGGTGCCATGTCTGCACCCGAGATCCGAACCGGGAAACCTCGGGCTGCCGGGCGAGGACGTGCGCACTTAACCATTGCACAACGGGGCCGGCTCCTATTCTCTTAGTAGACTTTTAACTGTACAGTACAATATTGTTGACTACAAACACAATTTTGTACAGCAAATATCTAGAGTTTATTAATCTTGCTTAACTGAAATTTTATGCCCATTGATTTGTAACACTCTTACTCTCCCAGCCCCTGGCCACTATCATTTCACTCATTGATTTTATGAATTTGATTATTTTAGATACTTCATGTAAGTGGAGGCATTCAGTATTTGTGTTTCTGTGACTTGATTATTTCTCTTAGCATAATGTCCTTAAGTTTGATCCATGTGGTCACATTTTTCAGAATTTCCTTAATTTTTAAGGCTAACTTTTATTCTATTGTATGTATATACCACATTTTCTTTATCCATTTCTCTATCCATGGACACTTAGATTGTTTCCACATCTTGACTATTGTGAATAGTTCTTCAATGAACATGGGAATGCCAATACCTTTTTGAAAGCTACATTTCAATTCTTTTTCATGCACATCCAAAAGTAGGATTACTGGATCATATGAAGAGCCTCCATATTTTTTTCCATAGCAACTGCACCACTTTTCATTTCCACCAACAATGCACAAGTGTTCCAGTTTCTCTGTATCCTAGACAGCACTTGTCTATTGTTTATTTGATAGTAGCCATCCTGATCCTTGTGAGATGATGTCTCATTGTGATTTTGAATTGCAATTCCTGGATGATTAGTGTGACATCATACATTTTTCTCATATACCTTTGGCACATCTTCTTAGAAGAAATGTCTAAATCATGTCCTTAGTCAACTTTTTAATAGGCATTTTCTTTTGCTATTGAGCTGTATTTGTTGCTTATATACATATTGAATATTAGTCTTTTATCAGATGTGTAATTTGCAAATGTTTTCTCCTATGCTGTATGTTGCCTTTTCAATACTGAGAAGATTTTCAGTGAAAAAAATAATTGATAAGCCAATGACAAGGATAATAATGTTAATATTTCAAATTTTATTTTGTCAATTTTTTAACCATATGTGTCTATCAATAAATTTATAGGTGTACTTATAGATCCATCATAAATCTATGAAGTGATAAAGACTTTTTACTCAATATATCAAAATCTTTGTTGCCTCTCCCCTCCATCATAAACCTGATCAAAAAGAGCAATGATAATGAAGGAATAAATCAAATAACAACGTCACTCTAATAAAGACAATGGCAAAATAAACACCAGCTGATATGATTTTCCCATAATTTCAGAAACATGTAAAGAGAATGGGGAAGTATAGACTAATGAAGCGGAAAAGGCATAGCTACAGTTAAGAATGATTTAAGGTGCACATCTAAAGAGTAAGTATAGTTTTTAGAGCCCAGAAGTCTCAGGCTTCAAAGGTATGTAGTAAATGAACAAAATAAATCCTGAAGTTTGTTTGAAAATGTAAAAGGCCAAGGACAACCAGTATCCACCCATGGAGAAGTGAAAGATGAAAAAAGTTCTCTAAGGGATATCAAGATTTCTTTCAAACTATAATAATTAAGAATATGTAGTAATGGAAAATACTTCAATGGAATGCAATAGAGAGTCAAGAAGCTGATTGAATTAGATTGAATAATTGGGTTCAATTATTCACCATCTCCTTGCATTCATAAATTCTACATACTTAATTAATGATGGAGTCTATTTCTTCACCTTCGGATTATGAGTCCAGTCCTGTAACATGTTTAATGATCTGCTGGCAGAAAAGAAAGTATGGCAGTTCTTAGCCTAGGATTTAAGAGACCTTGAGTATTTTCATCTGGTTTACAGCTTTTCTGACATTTCCATAATGCAAGTAGCCAAATAGTCTAAAGATGATAAAGGACATGTGGAGCAATCAGTACTCACAGAACTGTGGTGTGAAGCAAAATGTTCTATCTCACAGCCTAGGGCAGAACCACCTCAGATGACCTCCTGATCTTTGAAAATAGTTGTTCTTTTAAAGCATTGATTGTTTGATGGGTTTTTCAAGAGATATTGTGGCAACAGCTGACAATTATACTGATAAACACACATATGGACACTTCATTTATGACAAGATTAGCATTAAAGAGGAGCAAGGAGAGAATGGATTTTTTTCAGTAAACAGCCTGTGACAATGATATATTCATCTGGTTAAAAATGAGAGAAGTACCATGATTGTTGGTGATTGACTACACCATGTGTTTGGCTAAGTTTGGCTCAGTTCCCTTGTTTTCTCATTCCAGGACCAGGCTGAAGGAACACTCTATTTGTGGTATGCTCTTCTCCAAGTTGAATGCACAAGCTCAAGGAAGAAAGATTCAAACCATGTAGGGGTATTTAAGGATTCTTCTATGATGTAACTTATGATACATTCACTCACTTTCCATTGTCTCAAACAAGCCACATGGGAATTGCTCTCTCTCTGCCTACAGAGAAGCATGACAAAGATGAGGATAGAACAAATAATACTGACCCAGTAAAACAATCTATCATAGACCGAAACCTCATACAATCCACAAAAAAATGAATTTTAGGTGACTCATAGAGCAAAATATGAAGAACAACAAACATTCTTGAATATAACATATGTAAATGTCTTATTGACCTCAAGGGTAGATAAATATAATCTTCAACAATTACAAAAACATTAAAAAAGTAATACATTTGACTAAGTTAAAATTCAAACTTACTCTTTATTTGAGGAAATTGAGTGACAAGTAACGTAAAAATGCAAAAATACTTTCAAGACATGTAACAGTAGAAGAGATTATATTCATAATGTAAAATAAATTTTTGAATAAATAAGAAAAATGACATACTAATTTAAATGAAGACTGGTAAATGTCCTAAGAAATCACTTTAAAAAGAAAAAAATCCATAAACACATTAAAATGTGCCTAACCTCAATAATCATAAATATTCTAATTAAAACTACAAATGAAATATTCTAAATCAAATAAATGGGTAAAAATCATAATATCTAATAATACTGAACACTGGTAGGGAAGTAAATTATAATTTTAGAACTTTCAAACATTGCTTTAAGAGTCTAAACTGATAAAATCACTTTGAAATATTAAGAACTAAATAAATGCATACTACTTCTAGGCATAAAACTCATTCTAATGAGTACTTATGTGACATGTAATGGTATACTTGCCCCCAAATTGAAACATCCCAACTGTCCATCATAGTAGACTGGAATAAAGAAAAATCCTGTAATATTTACAATATAAAATATATAATAGAAGCAAATTGAATAAGCTATAAATATTTGCAACATGAATGATTTGTAAAATGTAATATTCATTTATAAAAGTCAGATATATGATATACATAATAAATGATTTCCTTCCTATAAAGTTGCAAAGAAGGAATATGAATTTATATTTTTTGAGAGGCATAGTTAGATATCGAATCTATATAGAAAAGTAACTGCATCATTTTGATAAAAATCATCCTTTTGAGTCTTGCTGAGAGTAGGAAGAAAGGGCCAGTAACTGCTCTATGTATGGATCTACTTGAGAGTTATACGGGTGTTTGTTTAAAAATTATGTTTCAGTATGTTTTAAATTTAAAATGACGAAGTCAGAGTATTAAGCAGATGCTACATTTTGCAGGGATAGATTATCATCATAAATGTAATAAAAACTATTGCACAATGTGAGGCTAGGGAGTAAAATACATTGACTTTATATTTTTAAAAAGTCACTATGGATGATCTGAGATTCATGCCTTATGTAAGGATAAAAAATATGGGAAGTATACTAATTTGGTACTAACTGCTAAAAACCCACTTAATGACAATGATGACTCAGAAAGCAGAAACATGAAATCATTGTTCTATTTTGGAGACAAAACATGACTGACAGACGTTTGAGAGAGGCTACAGAATAATAAAATAAATAATGTCTTCTCCTTTGCTTGTTTAAGCAACTCAGTAGCTGTGGAAGGCATTTACTGATATAAAAAAATTGGTAGATGGGAAACGCTTACTGTTGAGAATGGATGATCAAAAAGTGTACTTTATTAATCTCAGTCTTTTTATCAATGCATAATGGATATAAATTTTATTATAAATAAATATAACTTTTGCTTAGTATTATTTTAAACAGCTTTTATTGAACTATAAAATATTCCACTGATATTCAAAAAATGAATGATATATAGAGTAGTTAATATTTTCAGCATCTGCTCACTCAAACTCAGCTAATATTTCTCATAATGCAAACTCCCAGGTCCTCAGTTTACTTGGAATGCAGTAAAGTTGTCAGGGGAAGAAAAAGTCCTGTTTTATAGAACTTTCTGAGACAAAAGAATTGGTTATGAGAACCTGAGCACAGATCCAGGAAAGGCGGTTATCATCTGTGTTTCTGCAGCACTTTTATAAAGGAGAACTTAAACTATAGCAAAAGTAATGAATCTCTAAATATATATACCTTCTTTGTCATTCTGACTTCCATAATGCCTAACTGAGAGATGTGGAAATATATTTCTTTCTTGAACCCAGCTAAGATGAAGTGCATCAGAATGAATTATTTCTGTATTAATTCGGAGTGTCCTGACCACCAAAAACCATGTAAAGTGCAATATTTAATTGATTTAAAACATAATCATATATTTATTTAAAATAAAGGTAAACTAGCATAAGCAATATATATGAAAAGTTATTGGATGCAAGTACAACATAAAAAAAAATATATGTATATATATTTAAATTATATTGAATGAGAAAGCAGTTTGGAGTTGATTACATTCCTGACAGCCTCTTTCACATCTTTGTTCCTAAGGCTATAGATAATGGGGTTCAGCATGGGCATCATGACTGTAAAAAACACAGTGGCCACTTTGAATGGGAGTAGGAGCTTTTGGAGTTGGGCACACAGTTGGGAAGAATGTTGATCCCTTGGAAAATGGTGATGGCAGTCAGCTGGGAAGCACAGGTAGAGAGCTCTTTTTGGAGTCCATCAGTAGAAGGCATCTGGATGATTGTGACAACTATGACAAGATAGGAGGAGAGGATAATCAGGAGGCTACAAGCCTCACTGAATATAGAAATGACTAAACATGTCAACTGACTGAAATAGGGGTCAGAGCAGGATAAAGAGAGGATGGCGGAATACTCACAGCCAAAGAGATTTATGGTTTTTGAACCACAGAAGGATAGTTTCGAAAGAGAATATGATATTGTCAAGGAACATATTCCATCACATATGTAGGTTCCAGCTATGAGGAGGGTGCACAGTTCATGAGACATAGCAACTGTGTAGAGAATAGGATTAGTAACAGCCATCAACCGGTCATAGCCCATGCCAACATGAACATTTCTGTAATCACAAATGCACAGTCAAAAAAAATTGTACCATGCATCCTTTGAAGGAGATAGTTCTGTATTCCATGACTAAGATTTCTAGCAGTTTGGGTGTAAATAAACTGGAATAGCAAATATCCAGAAAGGATAAATGGTTGAGAAAAAAGTGCATGGATGTGTGGAGTTTGGGATTGATCTTTATGACCACAATTATACCCAACTTCCCCACCAGAGTGACCATGTAGATCGTCAAGAAAACCAGGAAGAGGAGTACCTGAAGGTGTGGGTATTCTGAGAAGCCCAGGAGGATGAACGTGATCACGGAGTTCTGATTTCCCTCACTCAGTATCATGGTTATTGATTTAAAAAAAAGAAGAAGAAGAAATAAAGGAAAGAAAAATGGAAACTGTGCAGCAGAACTTGAGAAAGTGAGGCAAGAGGAATTCAAGACAGCTCAATGTAAACCATTGAAGGCAATGTGGTCAGTGCGCACTCTTGAGTGTTCTGCTCCACTTTGAAGTCTCACTTGAAAACTTACTGACTTTTTGATTATGAACAATTACCTTTGTCCTTCAGTACTTTAGTTTCCTCATCTGGAAAACAAGAAAAAAATAGTACATATCAATGGTATTATTTTATATAAGTGAACTATAAATGTGTGTGATATTTAGAGCATTGAATACCCTACGATAATATATAATTATATGAGAACAAAGCAGACATAGAGTGAAATCAGAAAAACATTGAGTAGATCATAGTAGTCATGTGATCATGGCAAAAGTGGTCTTGGGAAGTTACATACTTTTAGCACATCAAAAAAAAGTAAATTTCTTTGGGGAAAAATGTATAATCAGACATTCATAATTCTGTATCAATATTTTGAATGTTTGCGTTTTCCAGGCTTGTCCCATAAAAAGATCTTTAAGTAATTTGGAGAAAAATTCCACTGATAACTATGTTCTTTCAATTACGCATGACCATATGTTCATATAAAGGCTCAAAATGCTCAATGATTTATAACTATCTTCCGAGGAAATGTTTTGGAGATGTTCTTGAAAGATTCATATTGACATTCTTTTGCTGGTTATGAAGTATATTTGTAGTGCATATTGTATTAAAAAGGAAAAAATATGCTTATTTGTCAGTGATTATAAAACACAGAAACAAATAGTACTAAAAAAGAAATATCTCTGACAACAATAACCAAAACCCTTCTTCTGGTGTGGCGGACTCAGGTGTGGTGGCTATGAGGAATGAAAAAAATGTGTAAGAATCAAAAAAATAAGTATTTTATTTTTGTAAACCAACAGGCATTTGAATATCAGGAATTTCATATGATTGAACCTGAGAAAAACTGACTCTAGAAATGAATGTGGAGATGTAATGAGTAAGGCACTGCTATCTTGAACCCATCTGTGATTTGGCACCATTTTTGGCTTTGTTTGCAACAAGCAACAGTCTGTCATCAACCTGCTATTAAACCCATCAGCTGAGCAACCAGATTTCCATTACATGGATGATTGGGTTGACATTTTGTGAACTGAGTGTATTTAATCACATGTGTTGATGAAAACATCTTCTCTAAATTCAGTAACTTAGATTGCTTTCAGTGGATTACATCCATGCAGGTTAAGAATTTTAAGATAATTAACTTAACTAAAGTTTTCTATAAAATGGGGTTGAATAAAAGCTGAACAATCTACTTCTTAGAACTGTGGGAATTACTACGTAAAATTTTTTATAGAACCACTTATATAATATGTTACAAATTTTAGTTGTCGTTATGTTTTCAGGCAATAACAACAAAACATGGCCTATGTTGACTCTGCTTCATGTTCAGGACAACTTTTCATCAGCTGTCTTCTGGTTTATTAATACTATGCTGATAGTTATTAGCAAAAACCAGAAGCTTTTCACTGATATTGGATAAAAAAATAAAAGCTTTATATCAACAACAACAACAAAAAGATACAATCTGCTACTAGAAAGTAGAAAAGAAAGAAAGCTAGATGAATCCATTATATGAGTAAAGCTTCTAGAACTTGGATTGGGAAAGAACCGCTGGAATTGTTAGATCATGCTCTGCCTAATAGAAACTAAGTAGATCTTTGTGAAAGATTCCTAACCAAGATCAAGACAAGACTTGACACAGTTAAAAAGCTGATAATTCCTGAATATTCTCATATACCCTGTGTTCAGTCTTCATTAGCAATAATTCTACTGCTCCTCCTTACTTTAAGGCTCCTGTCCTCACAGCTAATGATCCCCCTTCAAACTCTTTCAGTGAAACTTACCAAAGCAGTAACTATCATAGTCAATTCTATGTCTGAAAACTTCTGTTAACTAGTATTCTTCCAAATATATTTTCTGGCACTTTCAAGGTCCAATTGGATCTAAATCTATCTCTGTAGTTCACAGAAATTAAATCTAACACCCTTTTACGTTATAGACCTTCAAATATTTGAAGACTTTTAAAATGCTTCTCTTGCTCTTTCTCTTTAGGTAAATATTTTTAGTGTTAGTTTCATGTATGTGTGTGTTTTACATTTTTTCCTCACACTGGTTTCTAAATATTCCAGAGGATCTACTCAATGCTCTGGGTATACCATTGACCTCTGTGAGCTGATACTGAAACTAGAACTAAACATACCTGCTCAGGAATTTCCTGCCAGGCCAAGAGGCAGCAAACTCGGTAATCTGGTCTTATTTACTCCATTTCTAATAGTAGTGCCTAATTGAGTACTTGAGGTCAAGTATTTGAATGGTGTTAGGTCAATCTACTGCCTTGCCAACGTTGTCCATGATTTACAAGTAAGTAACAAATCCTATGCATATGCACGTGAAGTTTTGAGACAAAGTTCAGGATTGTGCATTTATTATTAAATCTCATGCATTGTTTGGTTCTTTTATTCTCCTCTTGCTGCTTGCGTGATCTTCCATTCTGATTGGCTTTACTGACGACCACACTGCTTCTTGTTTATACTTAGGCCACTCTGTCTACCTGAAATGTCTTCGTTGTTTCTTCAGCTTCCTTCAATATTGCCAATTATCAGTGCACAATCCATTCCCCTTGCAATTTGGGCTATTTGTTAAATTTTTGACAAACATTCTTTCACCTTCACTTTTGAAGAGTACATGTGTTCTGTTCAACATATTGTGCCAGATACAAACTTTAAGTCAAATAATCACAGGAAGTCTTAACAATCTACAAGAGCTAAAGATCAATGACAATGAATGTAACACTTCCTCACCCATCTGACAATCATTTGAGGGCCAGGCTCCCATTGTGTATTTATTAGTTTACAAATAAAACAGGTACTTAAAATGCATGAAGAAGATAGTAATTGTTAAGATAACATTATGGTGATAATTTTATCAATGTCGTTATGATATTCTGTTTAATTAAATTAGCTTGGTACCTGACAGTATAACTGAGGTTGAATGAATAACTACTTCTTTGTTCACAGTACAGAAAAAAGAAAATAAACATCCCATTTATTTTTTCTTATCAGAAACTTTTTTTATAAAACTCTAACATCAACTGTTTATTTTTTTTCCTCGTTCAGAGATGAGATTTGAATGGAGGGAGAAAAGGCACCATCACATCATGCCATTTCATAAAGAACGTGGACTTAAGGAAGCAGATCCCGCTAGTTCGGATTCACCCTTCGTCATTTATTACATATGTAGCTTTAGCTAATTGTTTAATATTATGAATCTTAGTTTTATCACCTTGAAATGTGGATTAAAAACCTAGGTCGTTTAATATTTAGTGTGAACATCTTGAGTGAGATTTGACTTTAACATATCTGAGAATAATTCCTATGCTTAGCTAAAGCCTCCACAACTATGAGCTCCCTTCCATCTTGACTCTAATGCTGTTGATCTACAAGAATGGAGCATCAGTACCACGTCTTGAAAATATTTGCAGGGCAAATTTTGGGAGCTATTTTAAAAAAGGGTCTTATATCCTGGACTCATTTTAATTTCAAATTTTTCACTCAGTCTTGGATTCACAATGGTATCCATTTCTAATCCACTCATATATCATCTTCAATACCCCTTACTTTCCTAACCACATCTACATCTTTCTGATTCTTTTCTTGCCATCTCGTATCTATGATTGTGGAAAAAGCAATA